TTTTTTTTTTTTTTTTTTTTTCTTTGGTAAAAATCACCGTGACATTCCTCATCGGTGGACAATCTTTATCGAATCACTCACAGGATAAAAATGAAAGTATACTATTAAAAAAGCGGGAATCAAGTCGAATTCAATAATAGTAGAATTTCAGAGTCATTTGCATAAACATGGAGTGTAAAAAATGGTTCCCGTAGGGACTCAGAATTTGTTCCTTTTTTTTTTTTTTTTTTTTTTCAATTTCCTTTTCATATCAAGGAGCCCAGAAGAACTCGATACGCTTTAGTTAGGCGAGCCATTCCGAAAGGCAGGTGGTTTCGGCCATCTGGCCGGCCGTTCTCGCGTGTCTTCTTTCCCTTCTTGATTTCTTTATTCCTAGGATATCGTGTTGTCGCGTCTCCTCTCATCTTCCTTCGATTCGTGCTTAACCACCCCCTTGATAAGATTCTCGCGGTGCTCGTCAGGTGCTCGTCAGGTACTAAAGACAGAGACAGAGTTCTATGACTAGGCTTTCTTACGTCGTGTACGAATTTTCTTTACCTCTCTGTTGCATTAGAATAATAATAATAATAATAATAATAATAAATAAATAAATTATCTTATATCTTATCTGGATATAATTTTTACTTTTTACTTTTTATTGACTAATTAATTTGTCCGCTGCAAGAAAATAGCCCTTGAAACTGATTCTCAACAACGTCAATAACCACGACATCGCGGTTATTTCACTATGCCGGAAATATTCCCAATCCCCTTTTCTGAATTCAAGATGGAGCGTATCCCTATCTGACCGAAACCGGAGGACAAAAGATATGTTCCTCACGTTAGATCCAGTCGTTAGAACCTGGTGGCGGCGCCATATTCGTTGAACGCGGCACCGATATCGTATTACACGCACGTTACACTTGCGCACGTGAATTGTAAATTACGGAAGATCGTGTCCGAGGATGACCTACATAACCAACGGGCTGCAAGAAAGGGCATCGGCGTCAAGCTGGCGCTGCCTCCACGGCTCCTTTATG